ATACTTTGCTGACTTTGTTGAGACACACACAGCCTAATCTATCAGAGCTTCTACTGTGACAGCTTATCACAGTTCCTAAACCTGGATAATCCACACCACAGTAAGCATTTTTATAGCCCTAAGCTTTCTTTCCATATCAGCATAATTAAAGCAGCAACCTTTGTAAGGACAGTCAGCACATTCTGTCATGAGTTTCCTTCTTGCTCTCTGCTTAGATCAGTGTTCTCTGATTGGAGGGAGGGAAAGGGGAAAAAAAAATAAGAGGTATTTATTATTAGGGCAAAATCTAAAGAGATGGAGAATAACATTATTTCTCATCACATTTGAGGATTATCAGTTACACTGAACAGACCTCAACCTTCTGACAGGCCACGCAATTCAAAGAACAACAAAATGCAAGCATTGCTGAAAACCTGCACCTTGTAACATTTGAGAAGCCACAGAAAGTGACACTTTCTCCTCTCCATATGAATTTAACTGCTGCTAAACCTTCCTTACTTTGCAAAAGCTTTTCCATACACCTTCATCTGTTCAGTTCCTTCTTAAAGACATTTTCTAAAGATCTCTTACGCTGCCAACTTATCAGCTGCCAGACTCCCCCTAGAACTTGAGGGAAACAGGATGAAGCCAGCAAAAGCTAACACCTTCTCTTGCACAGATTTACTAGAGCACATATTGAAGCTGACTTGGAAAGAGAAAAGTGCTGGTATATTGGTATAATCGAAAAAAAGAGTTGCTCCTTGCCCAGAAATTGCTTATGCAACACAAGGCTAATGCTGACTGATTCTCTCTCGGTCTCTGAAATTTTATTTCTTTGGAAATGGTAGCAGACGTGTTATTTTACTTCCAGCCAAGCTACACAAAGCCTGTGAGTATCAGGAACATATCCACCACTTCCATGAAGCTTAAAACTTCCTCTCATCTTTTTTGTCCAAGAAACAGACTTGCTGACAGCACTGGTATTAGTCTAATAGCAGACTCCAAAGACTTCGAATGCTATGCTTTCACATCAGTGCTTGGACTACTGCTGCAAGGGAATAAAGCCTTGAATATTAAAAAAAAAAAAGCATTTTTTTTCAAATAGAATGAGGAGTTCAGCCAGGAAAAGAGGGCAGAGGGCTGAAACAGGAGGGTAATTTTATAAAGCTCTACTGCAAGGCCAGCAGCAGAAGCAAAAGGCAGGCAGCAGGGAGGGAATGGCTTTAAAAGAAATAATGGAAAGACAAAAAATGAAGTAAATTGAAGGGGGGGCAGATTTCTCTCTTTGCAGTCAAAGCACATTTGCCCATTGACTTAAGGCTAGATTGTGGCATGACACGAAACTTGGAAGATGCTTGCAGCTCTAAAGCAAAGCTTCAGAAGGCTGCTGTACTTTCTTTTCTGCTTCTGGACTACCTCAGAGGTTAAACAAGCTCCCAGGATAAATTATGGCAGTGCCCGAGACCCCTTCATCGCGCAGCCGGGCTGCCTGCAGAGTGAAAACAGGCCAGCATCTCTAGAGGGCTCAGCGCTGCACAGCTGCTACCCAGGGCTGGAGGATTTTAAGGTAGATTTAAGGGTTACATCCAAACAACTAAATGGGCTTAACTATTTATAGAGAACAGACTTTTGGCGTGCTGGACCTCTGCTAAAATGCTGTGACCATAAGCGAGGCAGAGCAGCTATTCTTTCCCGACACACAAACACTACCTTCAGCTCGTTCCTGAGCATGGCTGGGCTACACACAGTTTCAGAGCTGCTGGTACAGGCCACGCAGGGTAGGGCTTTTCTTCCCTTCTGGGCTTTTCTTCCCTTCTGGGCTTTTCTTCCCTTCTGGGTGTGTACAACACTCGGTTCACAGATAGCCTTGTTGGTGCCTAGGTCTCTTGCTGCAGTCGTTGAAAGCATCACTGAAATAAACGCTCTTATTTTAGCAGCACCCTTTGAAGCAGAGTTCTTAAAAGGAGCGTACAACTTCCTAAATCACTTGACAAAGCTGTCCTGTGTGTTGGTGGCTTTCCCAGTCCCATCAAAGGCAAAAGAAGCCCCTGTGCAAACAGACCCAAGAGCCCTGCACAACATCCTCCCGGCAGCTCCCACCTCCCACAGCAGATTATGTGGCACAGTCAGTCCTGCCCCGGGGAGCTGTGGGGCAGGAAGAGAACATGATATACACAGCTCCCAGCAGCTGCACAGCCCTGCAGTTCCTCTCTGGCTCTGAATGAAAGCAGCCCCCAGTACGTAAGCAATAACATCACAGCAGGCACGTGGAGAGACAGACTCGCACCACTCGGACCCCTGATTAAATCCGCACCTTTGCACAGCGCTGCCTTTGGCTCATCTCTACGAGTACCCCCACGCTAGGCAACATGAAATAATGCTCAAACAGACTCTCTTCCTTCCAGACTTGGCAATGAAGCAATTCCTAGGCAACAACATTTAGTTTGTGAATGAGAAGAGCTCGTGTTCATGGTGTGGAAACAGAGGAGTTGGGTTGCATAGGGAAGAGTGTGGCCAGCAGGTCAAGGGAAGTCATTCTGCCCCTCTACTCTGCACTGGTGAGGCCACAACTGGAATCCTGCATCCAGTTCTGGGCTCCCCAGTTCAAGAGGGACAGGGAACTACTAGAAAGAGTCCAGCAAAGGGCTACAAAGATGATTCAAGGATTGGAGCATCTCCCTTATGAGGAGAGACTGAGAGAGCTGGGACTCTTTAGTCTGGAGAAGAGAAGGCTGAGGGGAGACCTTATCAATGCTGACAAGTATCTCAAGGGTGGGTTGAAGGAGGAGGGAGCCAGACTCTTTTCAGTGGGTCCCAGTGAGAGGACGAGGGGCAACGGGCACAAGTTGGAACAGAAGAGGGGCCACTCAAATATGAGGAAAAACTTCTTCACGGTGAGGGTGCGAGAGCCCTGGAACAGGCTGCCCAGGGGAGTTGTGGAATCCCCTTCCTTGGAGATTTTCAAGCCCCGCCTGGATGCTCCTGAGTAACATGCTCTGACAAGCTCTAGGCAATCCTGCTTCAGCAGGGGAGTTGGACTAGATGATCTCTATGGTCCCTTCCAACTCTAAAATTCAGTGAAATTCAGAACCTTCTCCTTTAGCATACAGGACATGGAAAACAACAGAAATGTTTTGGCTTTGTGAGTTGCCTGAGGACAGGCATGTGAAAGGCCTGGGAACAAACACTGTGGGAGAAATGCACCCTGCTCAGCCAGTCAACAACATGAAAGCATCTATTAGCAAACACCAAACTACCAACTGCTCCTCACAACCCCCTTGCAAAGAAAAGCAGTTTCTCTGTCTGTTAACCGTGTAGGAAGCAGCAGTGGTGAAAGCTGTGTGAGTTGTGGGCTCAGTCCCTAAAAGGTACCCACCGAGCATCACTTGTCCATTTACACTGGCAATGCCCACTCACCCAGCAGCACGTGATACAACTTCAGAACTGCATCCAAAGACAGAAAACAAGTTCCTCGTATAATTAAATAATCTTTATTATATAAAACATAATACAAAGCATCTACACCATTCACTGGTGAAACATTAGTTGCTATTACACAGTAATTCGAACACAAGTTATTATTTCACACTAGTTCTGCAGTTTCCTTTTACAAGTTGCTCTAGCCACTATGGACTAGCCTGAGGACACGTCCCACCACGTGCTCCATAGCTTGGAAGTTATACTTCTTCTGGGCCTGTGATTCTATGCTGGAGCCCACTACGAGGCCTTGCTCTGAGACATCGTTGCTAGCTCTACCTCATAAAGCCATTCCTAATTGCTTTTTTGTTTTCTGCTGCTCTTGTTTAACTTCTAAAGCCTCAACACTGACCACAGCGCTCTACTTCTTCCAAGCAAGTTCCCCCCCAGTTCAAAGAAGGGGACCAATCAACCACTAAGTGCATTATCTTTCAAAACATCTTCCCACACTGAGTTTCATAGATACCTGCAGTCACTGACTGACAGCCTTACTCCCTTGGGCAGGTATGGGGTGTACAGCCCCCACAGAAGGGCCCTAACCATGAAATTAAGCTGCACACCAAACCTCACCAGATGTCAGAGTCCAAATCATAAGGACTGCTCAGGAAACTCTTCTTGGTGGGCAGGTCAAGAGCTGCACTGAGAAATGAACAGGGTGCTTTCACCTACGCCTCTTCAGGACTCCCTGCTGACAGCCTTTATTCCCTGGGTCAGGCTGGCTGCTGGAACTGCTTTGGCTCCAGATTTACTTCAGTCCTGACTAGGGAAAACCCACCATGCATCCTTTCTTCCACTTGGGAGTCCACCTGAACAAGAGGCAGCACGCTGATCTATACCCATGTGTCTAGCTTACTCTTTGACTCCTACCCACAAGCATCACTGCAAAACACCTTGGATTCCTGCTTTTGTGAGGCAAGCCAGATACTGGAAGTGCCATGTTCAGGTGAAAAAGCACTGATGATGGGTCATAGTGAGAAGTGCTTCACTCAAAGCAACAGCATTTTGCCTTTACACAGCACAGCTTGCCACAGACCACCAAACATTCATCAAAGGTGGCTTAGTGTTAACAAATTAAAACACCCCACGAGGTAGGTAATACTGTACCCACTTCATAAAGTGGGTAAGCTGAGGCAAAAAGGCTCTTTGACAAGCTCCACAGCAGCAGTAGAGCTGGGAAAGAACCAACAAGCCCCAACTAGCCCTTCTTGTCTCCTGTCAAGGCTCAATAGCTGTGTCACTGCACTGTGCTAAACGAGTCGAGTTCCCTTTTCAGGACCAGCTCACCCCATCAGTTGGCTCTGGGTCTCCAGTGCTTTGGGTTCTTCACGTCTTTGGCTGCAACGGGCAAGGCTCACAGCAGAACTGGCTGGCACCTGAGCTGCACTGGAGGCCTGGTGCTGAGGCTCAAAATAAACAATCATCATGATGACAGCAATAACAAAGGAACAGTGCTTAAGAACATACAGTGAAATAAACACCACAAGATGCCAACCGGGAGACAGTTTTTCCCTGCAAATGGGACCAGACAAGTAATGCTTATTTTCTCCTCCCAGTCAGGTTCACTTTTTTGTTTAAAAGAAGCCAGATTCTGTGCCTCTAGCTTCTTTAATTATTAGGCCGTAAAATAAGTCTCTCTTACCCTATAAATGCTCACTTTTATAAAGTGACCCAATCAGGGAGACAGAAAGCCCAGGGGTCAAGGCATCAATTCAGACGAAGGAGAGCCAAGGTTAGGTCTCCGGTTTGAACAGGGCAGAGGACAGGTTTGAAGCTGGGTAGCTCTCCCACCTTAGCCACCAAATTTTGAAGATGCACGCTGGTCACTTTTCAGCCAGAAATCCCAATTTGGATCTGAAGAAACACTCTTGTCAAAACTGGTATTTATGGTCCTGGGGAAAAATCACCAATGCTAATTTTGAGTGGTTTTCAATCAATTTTCCACAGAGCTTCCAGACGTTCACCTACAGTACTCCACTACCCACAAATGCTGTGGCAGCCTCTGGGTTCAGATACACTGACCTGAATCTGGGATGACACTTCAATGGCAACTACAAATGAGGTTCTGGCCCCTCTTCCCTTTAGGTTGCCAAAACCAGCGAGTACAGATCGTTTGCAGATCGCTGCAGCAATGCACTCTGCATTTACTGTCCTTATTTTTAAAAGTTACTTACAGCTGGGGGAAGGAATTTGTCTGACAATCTCAAGGCAAGCCGTCTGGTCTCAGCCTGGCTCCACACTCCGCCTGCATTTGGGTCAATAAGCACAGCAAAGGGAATTTTGGCATTCTGCAGACAAATTAGGATTTGGTCCATCAGCCAGAAAACCACTTACTGGCAAGTCCTGATGGGGCTTCTCGTAATGGAGAGCACTGGTCACTCGAGCTAAAAGCAGTATTTGGAGAGGGTGGGCAGAGTTTTAACAGTCAGGGATGAAGAAGAGGGAAAAAAGTCAGAATAGCATTTCACATCAGGAGCTGTGTCTTTGGGTGTATTCACAGGGCACCGAGTCCTGCAAGGTGCCAGTGCCAATTAGAGCTTCTGGACACTACTGAAAAATAAGTTATCGATACATTATTAAATAAGTTATTAAAAGGAATTAGAAAGGGTAGGAAACAACAACCTACCTAAATAAAATACCGCGCTTTCTAAAGTCACACTCTAGCTCAACCACCAAAATCCTTTCTCCCAAAGGAAAGACAGGGATAGTGAACAAAGTGCAGATAACAACCATCATTTTTCATTTATATAGCACCTCTCAAGCGAAGATCTGAAAGTGCATAACACAGATGGATAAGCTCCATCGCCCCCACTTCACAGATGGGGGATTTAGGCACAAAGTTAGAGTTACGTGACTTGCCCAAGGTCACATAACAACTTGGTGGAAGAGCCAGGAATCCCAACTCTGATGAAACACTAAAACATGCTTCTTCCTAACAGTAGAAAGAGTCACTCTAGCTGTCTAGACTGTACAGGACACTGAACAAGAAGATCTAGTGTTATTTTCTTCTCTCTCCCAAGATTCTACCAGTGCCGAAGGAGTTAACTACTAACATTACTATTTACACCTGCACTGCTGGACTAGTTATGCGTAGTCTTTAAAATTAGCCCTTCTTTCACTCATATCATTTAGTATATGCTGACGTACACACCGAGCCAGCCTCTGCCAGGCCAAACACTGCAGATCCAGTGAATCCATGGCATAGCTCCATGGATTCCAGTGGAGTTATGCCAGGGATAAATTTGGCTCCAGAATTGCTAACGTGTGTTGGCTCCTCTCCCGACGGTGGCATTTCAGGCACGATCCCCTTCTTGCCAGATTGTGAACTCAAGGAAGTCTTTACTCAGCATCCAGTCAGTGGTTTTTCAGATGCCCGTTAGTTTTCAAGTATAACTCATCACTCCTCCGACTCCTCCACGCGTGGTACTTCTTCATGCTTTTCCTCCTAGCGAAACGACAGATGCTGACCATGAAAACCCAGGAGACAGCGTACATGATGACGCCTCCCAGCTTAATGTACCACCTGGGTTTGGGAGAAGCAAGCTCACAGTACATCAGCCAGGCCCCCACTCCAATCCGCACCCCGGTGAAGAGGACCACGAAGAAAAAATCCACCACATCTCCTGTGAAACTGTGGTAACAACCCATCTCCTTCAGGAACCAGCGGGCCTGCAGCAGCGGGTTGGTGATCTCACTACCGAAGATGACGGCATTGACCTCCGCAGCTGACTCCCCGAGTGCCAGCGATGCTGTGATGCCCAAGATGCTCACCAGATGGTGAGCCAGCATCAGGGCACCCTCTGTCTGGAAGTACACACACCAACAAAGATCGAAGAGGAAGTAGCCCAAACTAAGGCACAGCCCGTGTACCTGAAGAGTTGTGTTTGGTGATCCTGGAACATAAAGACACCAGAGAGAGCTTTAAAGCACGAAGGCAACAAAGAGGCAGGATCTGAGACAAGGAAGGGGCATTCACCTTCAGCACTGGCAGGCTGATATTAGCATGTACTGATCACAGCTCAGCTGGAGAAGTCAGACAAGTCACAATACTACAGTTGTTAGTCCCACAGCTGCACACACATAATGGCCACACAACGTGATCACACACTCTGCCAGACCGCAGCTGGGGAGGACCATTACACCAGCAAAATACAGTACCAGTCTCTCCATTTCTCTAGTCCTTTCCATCACAAAGCAGCTCAGATATCACTTCAATCATCATTCCTCAAGTGGGCTGGATACCGAGGTGGTAGGAGAACCCCACTTTGTGCCATCACCCACTGGGGACTTGGGACCACAACTTTACTTACCCGGGTGACTCAAAGGCCAGGGCCCATCAATGAAGCCAATGTAAGCAGAGAGACAGGTAGCGAGGATGCCATGGGTCAGCGTGACCAGCCTGCAGCTCCATTCGTAATTCCGGTGCTTGTAGCGACGGCAGAACCAAGCGTAGAGAGAGAGCCAGGCAAGCAGACTGCAGGCGACCCGCAGAGGCAGGGGGAACAGCATCCTGTCACAGGAACAGAAAGACAAATTGCATCAGAAGGTCTAGCCTTCGGCAGTGTCAGCACAACCCAGTGTGGTATTTCACCTGTAACCATCCCAGCACCAAGTTACTGTGCTCCTTCCTGATGCTGTTGCGTGCTCTTGACTATTTTTTTCTGCAGAGGAACTGCAGTTTCCCTGGGGAAAGGCCTACATCAAAGAAGGGCATCCTCCAGAGTTAGGGCAGATTGACCATGTGGCCACCAGCACACAGACCCCCACCCAGTGTCACCTCAGCTGTGGGAACATGCACCAAAAGCAGTGCCCTTGTAAGTGAGTTCCTAGCCTGGTGGAACAGAAAATACACCACGAATTGGTAACACACCTCAGAAGACTTCCCCAACCAGTCTACGATGCAGGATCTGCTGGGATACCATAGTGCTCATCTGCAGTGCCGGGGGACAGGCTGAGGAGTGCCACATCCAACAATAAAGCTTTGATCCAGAGCTACTCCTGCCCCTTTGATTTTCTTCCCTGCCCATATTTCTGTATTTGACTGGTCTGCTGCGTTGCCCTGCCTGATCTACTCATCCTGTCGTGCTGTTGGCTAGCTCAGTTCCTCCTCTCCTGAAACAAAAAAAAAAACCACACAGAAAACCCCCTCTTGCTAGGTTCACTGCTAATCAGCCTTCACAGTGCAGTGACACCAACTGCAAGTAAGTCAAGAGAAACACAAAGCCATCTCCTCCTGCTCCTGAATTTTAACCTTCTAGCATGAACACATTTCCAGGAGAATTTGGGAAAAAAACCCACTATAAAATCCCCTTGTCCTCCCCAGGAAAACTTACAGTGGAACAACATACAGTTCAAACTTCACGAGAACAAAGCTCAGAATAGAATAAAGGGTCCCTCAGCCAACAGTGATGGGATACAGAGGTCCACCTGCTTCAGGAGCAGCCAAGCACTCCCACACCAGTCCCTTTGCCACCCCTCAAGTGTCCCCCACTGCCCCACACCTCCCCTGGACAAGGTACTGGATGGTCCCTCCTAACAGCAGACTTCATTTCCCCTTCCCTGGCACCAAGACCTCCAAATCTTTTTGATACAAAAGGATTAGAAGCTATGTCCACAAAAAAGATTTTTTTTTTCAGCAGTAATTCTTTCCTGCACCTTCCTTTACTCATTGTGCAATACAGAATCTCTCAATCAACAGATATACTGCCAGAACAAAATTACAGTGCAAAAACACACCTGTGGAGGATACTGCTTTTGTTGCTAAAAGCCTCCCAAACACATAATACTCAGATATCTACATCTTCATAACGCCTCCCCATAAAATGTAACATGTGTCTCATTACTCCTCAGCGTTCAGGGAAGTGCATCAAAAGAGGTTGAGTCATGCTCCGGGACACACGAGTTTCCAGTTGTGCAATGGGAAGCGCGCTGCTGGTCCTGCTGGTACCTGCTGACCAGGGCGCTGGATTCACACCCTGGGCTGGGGAACACCACAAGGAAAACGCGTGAGGAGGAGTCAGAGCTGCAATGCCCAACCTTCCTGTTTGGCCTGCTGCAAGCACCACCAGGAACCACTCCACTGGGTAAACAAAGCCATTATGGTGTAATGGGGAGATGGGGAGATGAAATGAGGATGTGATTAACTGCTCTGACCAGGTGCTTCCATTGACATCCCTGGTACCTGAGGTCCCAAATGCATTCAGAGTCAGGGCAGATAAGGCAGGAGGAATCCCGATGCAACAAAAGGCATTGACCAGCTGGAGAAGGCTGATAGAAGGAAGATGAACCACCTTTTAAACATTTTTGCGGTGTTTTCCACACCTTCTTGTGAAAAAGATACTTCTCCTGGAGAAGGGGAAAGAGGGAAAGAGGGAAAGGAAGGGGGATATCCTCCAACTGCACATCAAAGCTCAACATCTGCCATTAACATATACAATATATACTGCACCTGCGAATTATGCCCGTACCTGCACTCCAGAAAGGGCAATATTATTTAAAACCCGCGGGAATTATATTAACGTTTGCACCACGGGTGGCACGGGCTGGAAGCAGGCTCCGCAATAATCACAGGTGTCTAAAATCCTACTCCCGAACAGCGCCCGAAAAGCGGCACCTGCGGCCCCGCACCGTTATCCCCGCATCAGAAAATGGAGGAGGCCCCAACGACCCGCCCCGACCCACGGGCAGGGCCCGCCGGGCCACCCCCGAGCCCCGCGGCGGCCACCAGCCCTCCTCCCGGGCACGGATGGATGAAGGGATGGAGGGAAGGGGAGAGAGAGGGAGGGAAGGATGGAGGCGGCCCGGCCCTGCCCGCCGCGGCCTCCCGCCCCCGGCCCGCTCCGCTCCCTCC